GCATCGACCGATCACCATCGCTGTGTTCCGTCGGACGCATCGGCATCATGGAGCTCGTCGAGGGCGACCCTCACGGTTTTGGACGACCGCGCGCCGCGCGACGCTCGCCGAGATCGTCGCGACCGAGAACCAGCGGACGGCCACCGCGGCCCTGATGCGGCCCCGTCCGCGCCTCGCTCGGGGCCTCTGTCGGTCGCGCGTCCATCGCCAGTTACGAACGTCGCCGCGGGTTGCTGGGCAGATGCAGAGAGAGCCTTTTGGCACGCCCAGGGTCCCAAAACGGCTGTATTTTCACCTAAATTCATGCCAATATGGCTCGTTTGAGCGGCAGCTTGGCCCAGCTGGCTTTCTGCCAGCCCCGTTGTGTTTCTCCTACCTACGCCCCTGGAGCCTCGCGGCTCCTCCTGGGCTTGCTGGTCGCAGGCCAGCTACTTTTTTTGGCCAAACAGGCCAATTTTGGGCATCTTCTCAGCACAGGACCACTCATGATGATGGTGCTTCGGTACTACTCTCACGGAGTTCGAGGGACGCAGCAAGGTCCCCACCTTCTTTCTTTTACGCCTCCGGCGCCTTCGGCGCCTCTTCGGCGCCTCCGGCGCCGTTCCGGCGCCTTCGGCGCCGGTTTTTTTCTTTTTTTTTCCTCTTTTTTTCTCTTTTTTTGGTCTCTGCCAGCATGAAAAAAGTGCCACTTTTTCATCGCACGAGTCGACAATCTCAGCGGCATGTTCATCACACTGCTTTGCATATGCACGTGCGCGCTGGCATTGCGGCCGCCGTCGACGCTTATCGACAAAAGGAGCCTCCGCCGCGCCGCGCCGGACGACGACGAGGACGCGCGGCTCGGTCGCCAGCGCTTCGCCGATGCGCTGGACGACGGCGCGCTCGCCGAGGGCTACGAGCAGCGCTTTCCGCTGCCGCTCGTGACGGCGGCGCTGCTCGCGCCGACGGTGCTCGCGGCGGCGGCGCCCGTGCTCGGCCTGCTGCCGGCCGGCGGCGCGCCCGACGACGCGCCGCGCTTCCTGCTCGCGACGGCCGGCGCCGCGGCGGTAATGCGAGGGGCCGACGCGTCGCTCCTCCGCGCGGCCGTGGCGCTGCCGCTCTGCCCGCTCCGACTCACGGGCGACGACGATGCGCTGCCCGCGCGCGTCGCCGCGCGCTACGGCGAAGACGATTTGGCCGCGGCGGCGCTCGCCGCCGCCTACGCGACGACGAGCAGCGTCTTCGCGCACGGCGTGCTCCAGATGTACTTAACCGACAGCGCCATCCGCATCGCGTCCATCGGCGCGATGTGGGCCATGCCGGCGGACTACGACCCCATCGAAACCTGGTGGTGGCCGCTCGTCGCCAGCTGGACGGCGTTGGCCCCCGTGGTTGCCGCGGCGGGCGCCGGCGCCGCGGGCTACGCCTGCGAGCGGGCGCTCCTCGACCCCTGGCGGACCGAATCGTCGCCGGCCGCCACGGACCCGCGCGTCGCGCGCGTCTTCGCGCTCGACGCGCCGCCGGAGCGCGCCGCGCGGCGGACGGCGGCCTACGAGGCCGCCGCGG